TCTGGCCCCCCTCATTGGGTAGTGGGCTCCCGATATGCAAAATCCTCCAGTTCGCCGTTGGCAGCTGTAGCAGCTTCAGCGCACGGTCCCCTTGGATTACGATGGGGAAGAGTACCTTTGCCTTTGGTATGGACGGGATTAGCTCCCTGTCCACCACCTCCAGCTTGGCCCCCTCCCCCAACGCTTCCAGTTGGCAGATCGTTTGCAATACATTTTAGTATTTTGACCCCGTTAAGCCACCCTGCACCATCGAACGTGGGCATGGGGGCCGTTGGGTCCTCCTCCATTCGAGCGAACAGCGCATCCACGAGCCGCGCGTGCACCGTCTTCCAACGCGCAGCCGTTATTTTGCCGTTCTCGTCGCTCCGGTCAATGAGTGCCACGATTAAGTGTCGTTTGGTCACCTCACTGACCTTCGCTTTATGGGGTCTCTTCGCCTGTTTGGGTGTGGGGCCTGCCACCTTGGGCCCGCGTTGCCGCTTGCTCACCGGAGTGTCCTTGATGGCACTCTCGGTCGAGCGTTGCCTTTTGGCGAGACTCTCCTCCACCTTGTTGGCAAATCCCTCCGTCGATGCCTTCATCTGCGGCATCTGCACGAAGTGCAGCCGTCCCTCTTCTATCCGTTGCTCGGCCCAGGTCATTTTGGGATTCTCCTCTTCAGAGAGGTCCTTCCTGCCCTGGAGCCGGCCCATGATTTTGAGGGCCGCTTTGTACTGGGCCTTCGCCTTCAACCCCTCCTTGGAACGCCTCGGCCCTTCCCTACGCAGGGAGCTGGAACCTGGTTCCGGGGAGCGGAGAAGGCTTTCTTCTTGGTTACCGAGAGCACGCTCTCCAGGTCCGAGTCTGTATCGACCACGGCACCTGTGCGGCTCAACTTGGAGTGAGTCGTTTTTGTGGCAGTACCATTGCAACTGATATGACCTGCTCCCGCCATATCAGAGGTGTGGCCGCTGGCGACACGCAGAGAGGATTGCTCCTCCCCGTGCCCGCCGGTGGTAGCAGCCACGCTTTCCACCGACGTTTGGGTTGACATCCCAACCCTTGCTTGCTCCTTCTTCCGCTCCATTGTTGGCCCAGAGGGTTAATATTTTTCGGGGGGACCACCCCCTAGCGTTTTATGCCTACCCAACAGGCACCTCCAGCCTTTTTGTTCCCAAAAATGTTTGGTCGGGAAGACCTGGAGCTGGCCTTGGCTAGACACTGCATTGCCCCGGACAGAGCAAGCGGCAATGCATTACCCGATCTGGGATAATGCAGTGCCCATTGCCCAGCCGGCACCCTCTGGGAGGGTTCAGCTGGAGGATTTTCGCCGGCCAAATTTTACATTAAAATTCGATAAAAAAATAATAATAATAAAATAATAAGATATGATAGCAATCCATTTGGAAAAATAAAAGCGTTTTGGGGATGTTTATACACAAAAGAAAAGCAGTTTTAACGCATATTGTAAATTTAAATTTAAAACGGATTCAAACGAAAAATAGAAAATATACACAAAAAAATTTTAAAACTTTTTTAAGATGCTGTGTTTTGGAATAAGCAAATGCAATTCAAAGTAAGTCGCAAACAACCATTAAAACAGCGAAAATGCGAAACTCATTTTGATTGTTAAATATTTTACTTATTTGTCCTGGAACTCCGGCGGAACGGGCTCTGCCATCTAGATCAAAATCTGTAAAAAACTAATTTTGTATGCAAAGAATAGCATTTTGGCATTTATATTGTCGTACAAAAAGCGGACGAATGTCCTTCCAAAGGTAGGCGATTTTACAGAGACATTTATACCTTTGGCAAATGTTAGGAACGACTAAGGAAAATTGCGAGTCTCTGGCTCCGGCTTCGAAGAGTAATCGCTAGACCTCGAACGTGTGGCAGCATTTAAAAAAACCGCCGATAATAACAAGGGTATGCATTTACTGAGGCAAAGAGGTTGCTGATTTCTGTTCGCCTGGTATCTCAGATTTGAATTTAACGGTTTTCTGCCATTTGAGCGATGGAAAGTGGAGTCAGAAAATGAGAGAAATTAGATCGAAAAAAGAGAGCAACGAAATACAAAGAGCAACAAGAAAAAATGAGAAATTAAAAAAAAACAGCAACCTTCTGTAGATTTCTGTTCGCTTGGTATCTCAGATTTGAATTTAACGGTTTTCTGCCATTTGAGCGATGGAAAGTGGAGTCAGAAAATTAGAGAAATTAGATCGAAAGAAGAGAGCAACGAAATACAAAGAGAAACAAGAAACAAGAAAAAACGAGAAATTAAAAAAAGCCAGCAATTTTCTGCTGATTTCTGTTCGCCTGGTATCTCAGATTTGAATTTAACGGTTTTCTGCCATTTGAGCGATGGAAAGTGGAGTCAGAAAATGAGAGAAATTAGATCGAAAAAAGAGAGCAACGAAATACAAAGAGAAATGAAAAAAACCAGCGACCTTCTGCTGATTTCTGTTCGCCTGGTATCTCAGATTTGAATTTAACGGTTTTCTGCCATTTAAGCGGTGGAAAGTGGAGTCATAAAATGAGAGAAATTAGATCGAAAGAAGAGAGCAACGAAATACAAAGAGAAACAAGAAAAAACGAGATATTAAAAAAAGCCAGCAACTTTCTGCTGATTTCTGTTCGCCTGGTATCTCAGATTTGAATTGAACGGGTTTCTGCCATTTGAGCGGTGGAAAGTGGAGTCAGAAAATGAGAGAAATTAGATCGAAAAAAGAGAGCAACGAAATACAAAGAGAAACAAGAAAAAAAGAGAAATTAAAAAAAACCAGCAACCTTCTGCAGATTTCTGTTCGCTTGGTATCTCAGATTTGAATTGAACGGGTCTCTGCCATTTGAACGGTGGAAAGTAGAGGCAGAAAATGAGAGAAATTAGATCGAAAAAAGAGAGCAACGAAATACAAAGAGAAACAAGAAAAAAAGAGAAATTAAAAAAAACCAGCAACCTTCTGCAGATTTCTGTTCGCTTGGTATCTCAGATTTGAATTTAACGGTTTTCTGCCATTTGAGCGATGGAAAGTGGAGTCAGAAAATGAGAGAAATTAGATCGAAAGAAGAGAGCAACGAAATACAAAGAGAAACAAGAAAAAAAGAGAAATTAAAAAAAACCAGCAACCTTCTGGTGGAACACTACAAACTTGTGGGATCATGTACAGAGAATTCATCCAAGTACCTCTACGTACCGGCAACATCGTGCGAATCCGGAAGGTCTTTCAGCAAGGCTGGACAGATCATATCGGACCGTCGCACCAGGCTTAAAGTTGATGTCGTAGATAAACTTATGTTAAGAACCAAAGCATTTTCTGTTAATGCCCTCTGCACACTGAGTCCATCCCGGGGGAATGGTGGGAATTTTTGAAAGAATTTTTTTTGAACACCGATTCACATTGACTCCATTCACCATCCACCATCCATGAGAAAACAGCTGATGCTCACAATTGCGTGAGGTGAAAATTTGTTCACATCTATAATTTCAATGAATATAAATAACATTGCAATGGTTGTGAATGTGATTCAGCAGCAAAACATATTCTTGCACAAGCGAATCATGTTTCTGGACTTGGATGATCATAATGCGGCTAACATTGACGAGGAGAATTTATTGGAGTGTATATCTGTTTTGAAAACACTGAAGCGTGGTCATCTCAGACTGCTTCTACTAAATCCAATCAATGTTTTAAATACAAATACATATTCTATGTTTTCTGAGAAGCGGTTTGGGACAACGAGGCAAAAACGAGGCGTTTTCTAAGGAAAAATTTCTATAGGTCTAACATTGTATCCTTTGGGCTCTTTTTCTGAGTACAGAAGAGTCGGAAGGCTGTCAGCCAAAAGCGAGTACAATTCTGACATATCAGATGTTATTTTGTTGTTTTTTACCATTTTCCTATCTGTCATTATTTACAATTTCGTAGTGAATTCCGATTTTTTCTTGTGAATGTGAAATATTTATGGTTGCATTTGCTCAGATCAACAAAAAAAAAGGTCGGTATGTACTGGAAAAGTATCCGAAGTATTTGCTTGTTTTTTTGGTATGTTTAAACCCACCTAGAAAGTTAAGCCTAGTACTCAGATCCAAAAACTGTTTGCCAGCAAACAAATGTCATATATTCTTCGAGCAGCCAGTGTGTGACCAGAGGTGTGCACTGCATTCCGAACGGTTACACTGCTCAGACCTAAGCTTTCTGAGCTTATAATTATTTTAGCCGTTTTTTCGAATCTAGCTTATTTTCGCAAACAATTCTGGCAGCACTAAGTGTGACCGTATCAAGAAACTTCTGCGTATATTAAATTCATAGTGCAACAATTCGTCAATAGTTTGAAATAATCTATTTGCGTTCAAACGCATCAGAAAGAACGCATCATGGGAAAGAAAAACAGTGAGATTAATACAAAATTGTTTTATTTAAGTAACTAACATGGTCAATTGCATTCGATTGCAATTATAGAATATAAGGAGTCTGCGAAGCCAGAGGCTGCACCACATCAACCACAACAAAAAGGTATGTGAAATGCACTACAAAGACACGTGAACTTATGAGAAAAATCTAGCATCTTCTGTATATGTTGTTTGTATGTATGTGCATAACTTTCGTTTTTGTCGATAAGCTTTTTAAATACATACAAACAAATCTAAAGCAGCGTTATTAAATCGTCTGCAGTATCGGGGGAATCATGAAATCAATTGGGTGTGGATTGACAAACATACATATGTACATATGCACGAAATATGGATCGCCATTTTTTTAGAAGTTTTATTAAACAATTTTTTTTTTCACTAAAATAATCAACAGATGCTGGTACGTCGGGTGCCCAAACCGCTGGAGTCACGTCCACTCCCACTCCATCCACAAGCTCCGCCGCTTCTGGCTCTCAACAACAGCAGGGAGGATGGCAAAAACAGGACGGAAACCAGCAGCGTCCTCAGTCCGGCCAAGGTTGGGGCGGTCAACAGAGGGGATCGCAACAGCAACCAGGCGGACACCAACAAGCACAAGGGCAATACCGTGGTCCGACACAACAATCCCAATCCCAAGGTCAGTTCCAAAGGGGATCGCAACAGCAACCAGGCGGACACCAACAAGCACAAGGGCAATACCGTGGTCCGACACAACAATCCCAATCCCAAGGTCAGTTCCAAAGGGGATCGCAACAGCAACCAGGCGGACACCAACAAGCACAAGGGCAATACCGTGGTCCGTCACAACAACAGGGTGGCAATCAGTCACGTCCTCAGGGTCAGCAAGGACAGTTCCAAAGAGCCCAAGGAAGCGCGTCTCTGCCACCTCTTCCAGCAGGCACCATGAAGCGTGGAACTTTGGGGAAACCAGGACAAGTATCTGTCAATTATCTCGACGTTAACTTGGATAAAATGCCAGCGGTGGCCTATCACTACGACGTGAAGATCACGCCAGAGCGCCCTAAGAAGTTCTATCGTCACGCCTTTGAGCAGTATAGAATTGAGCATTTGGGCGGTGCGATTGCCGCATATGATGGACGTGCATCGTGCTACTCAGTTGTGAAACTAGAATGCAGCTCCCAGGGCCATGAAGTAAAAGTAAGTGTTGTATATTTCGCTGAGTTCGATTTACTTTGAATGAAACCTTGCTTTCTTGTCGTCCAGGTAACAGATCGCCATGGGCGTACATTGAAATACACCCTAGAAATAAAGGAAACAGAGGACTCGGAAGTTGATTTGAACTCACTGAGAAGGTATATGAACCGTGACATTCTGTTCAATAGAATGTGTCGGCAGAGAATCGGCAATTCTAACATTCCATTTTTGCAGCTACATGAAGGATAAGATTTATGACAAGCCCATGCGAGCCTTGCAGTGTCTGGAGGTTGTGTTGGCGGCCCCCTGTCATAACAGTGCTATACGCGCCGGCCGCTCTTTCTTCAAAAGGTCTGATCCCGGAAATGCTTGTAATCTTGGCGACGGCTACGAAGCTCTGGTTGGACTCTATCAAACTTTCGTGCTTGGCGATCGTCCGTTTGTCAATGTGGATATATCCCACAAGTCCTTTCCGATGGCCATGTCGATCATTGACTATATAGAGCGGTATCAGCGGCAGAGAATTGATAAGAGCACAAATCTTGACTACAAGCGTTATGATATCGAATCATTCCTAAAGGGAATTAATATAATTTACGAGCCGCCTGCCTGTTTTGGCAGCGCTCCTCGCGTCTTCAAAGTCAACGGGCTTTCCAAGGTTTCAGCAAGCTCACAGATATTTGATCTGGATGGGAAAAAAACGACCGTTGCAGAGTACTACAAATCTCGGGAATATAATTTAAAGTTTCCAAACCTTCTATGCTTGCATGTTGGTCCGCCGTTGAAATACATTTATTTGCCTATCGAACTATGTCGCATTGAGGATGGTCAGCCCCTGAATGTGAGTTCAATAGCTCTTACGCAGCGACTTCCGTTAATTCCAAATAATTTCCTCCTTTTATTTATTTATCTCATATCGCAGCGCAAGGATTCTGCAAATCAGGTGGCGGCCATGATTAGGTATGCTGCCACATCCACCAACGAGAGGAAGGCCAAGATCATCCACTTGCTTGAATATTTCAAGCACAATTTAGATCCGACCATCAGTCGCTTTGGTATTCGCCTGGACAACGACTTCATTGTGGTTCATACACGTACCCTCAATGCACCTCAGGTGGAGTACAAAAACAATTCGACTTCGGTGAGGAACGGTTCGTGGCGCATGGATCGCATGCAATTCCTTGATCCCAAGCCGAAGCCACACAAATGGGCCATACTTTACGGTAAGATGCAGTACAATCAGGTGGCCGATTTTCAAGAAATGGTAAGTTGTGCATAGCTGGAAGCAGAATTACAGACAAATCCTAACTAATTTTCTTCCCAGGTTATTCGTCAGAGTCGCATCGTCAATGTTTGCCTTGATGCAAAGGCCGAGATTCGGATGTACAAGGATGAACGTGACCTAGATGCTCATTTCCAGGATTTCAAACGAAATCAATATGATTTGGTGTTCGTTATTATACCGAATTTCGGGGCCTTCTATGATACCGTGAAGCAAAAGGCTGAGCTGCAGTATGGCATTCTCACACAATGCATCAAGCAGATCACAGTCGAACGTAAATTGAACACGCAGTGTATTGGCAACGTTCTACTTAAGGTCAATTCAAAGCTGAACGGCATCAATCACAAGCTAAAGGACGATCCTCGCACTGTGATAAAGAATGCTATGTTTTTGGGCGCCGATGTGACTCATCCATCGCCCGATCAGCGAGAAATCCCCAGTGTTGTGGGAGTGGCCGCCTCCCATGATCCATATGGGGCTTCATATAATATGCAATATCGCTTGCAACGCTCTGCCCTGGAGGAGATCGAGGACATGGAGTCGATAACCCTTGAGCACTTGCGTGTTTATCATCAGTTCCGGAAATGTTATCCCGAGCACATTGTCTATTATCGTGATGGTGTCAGCGATGGTCAGTTCCCCAAGATCAGAAATGAAGAGCTGAGGGGTATTTCTGCGGCCTGCTGCAAGGTAATTTTGAGCTCTTTCAGTGAGAAACCCATTTTCTATTGCATTCGGGTTTCCGCCTCCTTTCAGATGCACATTAAGCCCAAGATTTGCTGCGTGATTGTGGTTAAACGGCATCATACCCGCTTCTTTCCAAACGGAGGTCCTTCGCAATTTAACAAGTTTAACAATGTTGATCCAGGAACCGTCGTCGATCGAACCATTGTCCATCCAAATGAGATGCAGTTCTTTATGGTCAGCCATCAGTCCATTCAGGGGACGGCCAAGCCGACGCGTTACAATGTAATTGAGAATACTGGCAACTTAGATATTGATCTACTGCAGCAATTGACATACAATCTTTGTCACATGTTTCCACGATGCAACCGCGCAGTGTCTTATCCGGCTCCGGCATATTTGGCTCATTTGGCTGCGGCACGTGGCCGTGTCTATCTGACTGGGTGCGATATTAATGTTGTTAAATATATTCGTTCTGAGATTATATATATCTTGACTGATTTTCTTGCAGCGCCACCAAGTTCCGTTCTCCCCAAGAGGAGTACGCAAAGCGTTTGATTGTTCCAGAGTTCATGAAGAGAAATCCCATGTACTTCGTTTAGGCAGAAAAGTAAACACAGTTACTCTTTTGCCAATAAGAACTAAATTCAAATATGATTATTCTTTATCAATTTTATATTTTATCACATTTCTTGAACCATAATCGTATATTATCATATGTTGAGGGGCATACTCTACTGCATTCATTAGTAGCATCGAAGTGAAGTGACATCTTTAGTGGCTCAAACAGAATATGGAAATTCTTTTAAATTACTAAAGACATATTATTGTAGCTACAAATGGAACCAGTTTAGAGGAGCCCTTATATTGGGCATATTATACAATTTTAAATAATAATAATAATAAAATTAATCAACTTTCTATGCTGACACGTAAAGATTTCTTAGTTTAAAGTTTGTTTATCGCGTTACATGGCGTCGAAATGGAATCTATGAGACTCTTGCAAGCGCTCCTGTTTATCCTCACGCTTTTCTTTGATGTACAGCACCAATATGATAAGGATAATGACCAGGCAAGTGCCTCCAAGTGCCACAACACTCATCAGGATCAATTTGCTGGGGGTCACAAACAGCTGAGCCTTCCAGTGCGATGGCTCATCCAGTGGCTTGGGCACCACAATGATCTGTGAGTTCGGAATAAGCTGTGTCCAATTGCGCCATTTGCTTCCCAGGCCTACGGCCAGCTGATCTACAAAGTTGGGTGTTCGCCCCAGGCCAAAGCAGGTGTACGGCAGTTGGAGGGCAAAATATGATGCCTGAGGCAACTGCACACTGCTACCACACTGCTGATCGCCATCTTGAGTCGTTGTGCTGTAGGTGATGCGCGGTCCAGGGAGATTGGTTCCGTATGTACGCTTCTTCCTTCCCAGAGGAGTGCGACGCTCTGAATTTTGTTTGTTATCCAGTCCTGTCAGAACAATAACCTTGACAAAGTTGGCATCGTAGTCAAGTGTATTGCGGAATGCAAGGGGACGGTAGCTGCCGTTCCGATTCTTCTGGATGAGAATCACATCGAGCACTCCGTCCTGATAGAAATCATAGAAGGCTCCAGCCACTGTGTTGTTTCCCATGGGTGACAGGGCGTTCCAGCGCACCTCAAATGTCCGCTTCGACGACTTCTCGCATGTGGTGCAGGGAACATTTTCCAGTAGGAAAGTTTGCATCACCGGCTTAGCTACGTTTAACGGCTGCAAGGTGAGGAGAAGATCAGGATAGCCATCCAAATTAAAGTCCCCACTTCTAGCCGTAATGGTCCTCAAGTAAACATCACCCGGAACGGGCGGCACCAACGCCCACGTAATGCCCTGGGGATCCCTAAAGTTAACATGAAGATTCCGAAAGTCATTACCGTCGTGGACCATTATTGAGGAGTTGCGGCAGTTCGCAAGAATACAAAACGGAATCACAATGTTTTGCACACCCTTCAGCTCAAAGTCCATGAAGACGGCCTGGCCAATATGGTAGTCATTGCCGCCAATCGGTTGGAACTTTATGGAGTATTGGTAGCTAAAGTTCTCCTGCATATCGCGTTCATTAACTCCGTACCAGATCTCATAGGAGTCCTGTGTCTGCAGAAATAAATCGGCCAGGAAGTCCTCATTCAAATCTAAATAGGCATTAGCATTTGGTATGCTGAGACTATTTCCGCCACTTCCAGTTGGCACGGCCTGATGGACCATCTGGGGCTGCTCTCGGCTGCTGTTAAATATCCAGAAAGTGCGCTCACCATAGCTGTCGAGGCCATATAAGTCGAGGATCATGTCCCGGTTAAAGTCAAGAGCCATCACTTCACCAATACTTTTAAAGAGCGGCTTCTTGGAGCAGGTTATCTCTGTCGTGTTGCCCCAATTGATGTACACGTCATAGCTTTCCTTGTCGTCGTTCTTGAGATTCACCAGCACATCCATCAGCGCATCACCATCAAAGTCGCCCGGGACAACACTGACAATCGTCTTATCAGCGTAGGTGCAGAACGGCCCAAGGATGAGCAATGGTTCCGTGTCGTGACCTACGCCATGGTAAAGTTTTAGGAATATTGGAAGGATTTTACAAATGAATGTAAATACCATAGAGTATCTGCAGCGTTTTCATGTCATCACGGATGACAAATATGTCCGTCAGCTCGTCCGAGTTGAAGTCTCCAAAGGCTGCGACAATGCCCTCCTTGATATTCCCGAAGACCTTGTCCGTAATATCGCTGCCATGAGCAATGCAGCCCAGGCTGAACAGAAGCCCAAGCAGAAAAGCACTAGATTCGAACATTTTAAGGACCTCCTTACTTCTCTACTTCTTTCTTTTGTTATTGTAAAATCAATTTTTTTTTTTTTTGGCGTTAGTGTTGGTCTGTTGTAGCAGCGACCAGAAACGATGTATCGATATGTGCGAGACACTATCGACTTTACTGCCATTTTCTAGTATTCATAGAGATGAGTAATTGGCAGCGTGATCTAATTTGTATTTGTATTTTTCTCATAGAGAGTAATTGGCCAAAAAGAAAACTTCCAAGCCAAGAAACTAAGTTGGTATGTTATATACACAATTACATTCGATGTGTTTTAACGACGCGAGATTAAAAGTCTAATTTAGCTTCTCTTAAAAATTTCGCGAGTTCCCTTATATGTAGAAGGATATTTGCTTTAAACAAATCGTGCGTAGAGTTGTAATACTTGAATATTTTAAATTTACGCCTTGGGGGCATGAGTCTTGTACAGTTGAAAATCAGGTGATTTGCAGATTCAGTTACGTTACATGTTGGACATAGGTCGCAACTAACTATTTGCATTTTTTCAAAAAAACGTTGTCATACGTATGATTTACGGGGATATCTTCAGATTACTCATGCTTAGTATGCAACAACGTGTTATCGTCTTTCAGGAGTCTCATATCCTGAGCGTTCCATCTAACCTTCTTGTGCCAGGGTTCCCTTGGAACATTTGGAAATAAATCAAAGAAAAAACCACCAGACAATGAGGAAGCCTCCTTGTAGTAGTCATTCCATAAGGCGAAAACTCTTTTCTTGACCTCTCGACATGCTTCACCTAACGTATAGTTCAGCCTAACAAACACCCCATTTGAGATGGCAGATTTTGCAGCTTCATCCGCTTGTTCGTTTATTGGGATACCCATATGACCTGGCATCCAGTAGATGTCTACAGAGATTAATTCTGGCCATACAAGTAATTTCTGAATATTTGCCACTGGATAGACATCTGATTCTGCATTTTTTAACATATATATAGCTGCTAAACTATCCGTAAATATAGCTACTTTAGTTAGTCTTAATTGCTTGGCAATGAGACAGGTCATGTTAATTGTAAATAATTTAGCCATAGCAGACGAAATTTGTATCTCCGATTTAAATCTATAAGTCTTTTTTCCGTTTACATCAATAATAACCATACCCACTTTACTATCACATATTGAGGCATCACTTGCAAAGATATGGTACTTTGTTTCCTTGAGATTGTGGAGAATTTCATAATACATATTAAAGGGGTTACTATGTAGATGCAGTCTTTTATTTGCAGTGAAAGTCACTGCTGGTTTGGTCATTTCAAAAATATCCCTAAACTTGTTTGCTACTATCGTGTAAGACGAATTTACTGATTGAGAGCATGTGTAACTATTGTAAAGATCGTAGTTTTGAGTCTTTAATATCAAAAGCTCTTTGGCAGTTAAAAACATTGCTCTGAAGTTTGGGGGCATTTCACCCGCCAACGCAAAAATCACATGCTTTGGAGTATCTGGTGTTACCCCTAAGCATCGACGAAGCGCAGCGGCTTGTCTCGAAAAAAGTTTCCCAAAGTTACCTTTGTTTAGGTTTGCCATGGTGGTCGACGCATATTCAGCTTTTGATCTAATGTGTGCTTTGTATATATTTGTGGCAACTTGAGGTCTTAGGCCACTCTTAATATTGGTGGCCATTTGCAACAGTTTCATGCCAGCCCCAGATTCTTTCCTTATTTTTTCTACATGTTTCTTGTCAGACAAACTCGATGTGATTATTCTACCCAGAAACTTTATTTTCCTGACTTCAGGGATACTTTGCAGATTCATAACGATATTTACTTTCGTTTTTTTTAATGGTAACCGAACACTTAGTTGGATTCAGGTTGAGTCCTAGATCTCCACAAAGGAGCTGAAAACTGTCGATCTTGTCTTGTAAATTTATTGCAGCTTCACAAAAAGTGGGTTTGGCTGACAAGATTATGAAATCATCAGCAAATTGAAAAGTCTTGGTGTCGTTGTCCTCAATTTGATGTAACCGAAGAGTATACAGATTAAAAAGAACTGGCGACAGACAGCTTCCCTGTGGCAGACCATTTGTAACCTTCTCAGTCCCCGAACCTAAAACCTTACTGACAAAAAATGTAGAATCCATAGTATAATTTGGTTAGGAACTTTTATCCACAACATGATTTTTTTTAGGAACGCCTAATTTACACAGTTATACGCATTTTCTATGTCAAGGCAAGCAACTACTATTTTCTTATTTTGCCGTTTGAGGCAGTGAATGGTTGACAAAAGATCGTTTATACACATGGAAGCACTTTTCTTTTTCCTATAAGCGTAACACCTAAAGGGCAGTAACTTTTTCTTTTCCACAAACTCAGACAATCTATTTTTAACCATGCCGTTTACAGATTTCGCAAGAACTGAGATTAGCGATATTTGTCTGAAGTTTTTGATGTCATCTAGTGGTTTACCACATTTTGGAATCGGACAAATCTTAATGCTACGACACGCATTTGGAAATTGGCAGCTATCATATGACTCATTAAAACAAGACAAGAGTTTTTGTATTACCTCTTCCGAAAGAGATGCTAGCATTTCATATGTGATCCCATCAATGCCACCAGCCGTTGATCTTTTATTTCTAATAACCTCACTTAATTCCTTCATAGAAAATGCTTTTGTACTCTGCGAGTTAGCCATGTTATTAGGAACAGTTGCAGTTAACTCTGTTTGTGGAATTCGATTGCTCAGAAAGTCTAAATATTCCCTGTTATTGGATGGAGCACAGCATTTTCACAGCATTTTTCCATTCTAGTCGAGCTTGGCTGGCCGCTTCAAAGTTCTCTGTATGTGCATATTTGATAGCTTTAGCTTGCGTAGACTTAAAAATTCTATTTAAACGTGTAAGTTCGTCAGTCCACCAGAACTTTGGAGACCTTTTCTCCAATATGTGAGTGCATGACCTAATTTCATTTTTCACCTTGTTTGTTATTATTTTATTTTATCAAATTCCTCAATGAATTTTGTTAAGGATTGGATAGTTTTCAGAACTATTTTTAATGGGATTGTTTAGATAATAGGGTTCAAACAAAAACGGCCAAAGCATAAAACGTAAATGTTCACTAAATGTGACGTCAGTGTTGCTGGTCAATAAAGTTTCTTCTATGCATATGTACTTTTTTATACCTTATTTCTTTTAATTGGTGTTAAATGTTTTGTTCCAAGCTCCATTGAAACATTATTTATGATTTTATCCTACAGTGACATGTTTTTTACCTATAAATGCACATGTTTGTGTTTTTTATATACATTTATCCTGGTTCTGATACCTATTATTGGAATTGAAGTACACTACTTGAAATAGTACACCAAACCATACGCTTCATCCTTGTTTATGGGCACCAGACGAATGTTGTCGTGGCAGTGTGGTGGGCAAAGATGTCCACCCTTACTCTTTGACTTGGGGGCGCGAAAGCCACACTTTAGGCACACGTACGGCTTGTGGAGATGCTTGCAAGTTGTCTCGTGAAGGTCTCGTTTTTGTTTGATTGTTTCACATTTTCCACAGTACTGGCACTGATTGGAGCCCTGTTGCGCATGGCGAAACCCTGGCGCTGGATCTTCAAATCCAGGCGGGATTTGAAAATGTCTCTTCATATTTTTCCCCTCTTTGACCTTCTCCTGACGGTGGCCATCAAAATTGCGTGTGTATGAAAGGGAGTTCAGTGACTCTGATGAGTTGGTGGTGGTGGCTCTAGAGATTTCGCAGTTGTTTGATAATGCTGTGGAGGAGCAGCCGCCGCCACCGGCCGGATGTAAGGTTGGGCTTCACCTGGATGCTGGGCCAGCTTGACAGACCCCAAGGACTGATCCTGACTGCGAATTTATTATTTACTATCTTACTGTAACTATTTTTATTATTATTTTAAGCGACTACTTACTTAAGTGTTACATGTATGTATGTATTTGATATACATTAATAAACATTATCTCTTTGTACCCAAAAAATACTTTTCGATATAAAATCCGTTACAAAAGTAACGGTTTACCTTACGCGTTTTCAACTTTCAGCCAATCAAATCGTTCGAAATTTTCTGTTCATTTGGGACGCGAGATTCATTGTTGCTACGCGTTCCCGTAAGATACATGTTTCTCACACCACGAAAGGGAGGGGAAAGTCACCACGAAAACGCTCTCTTCACCTCAAAAAAGAGAGCAAACTTTGAAAACCCACCACGAATTGAGAGCGAAAAATGTCAGTATTTTTTGTGCGCTAATTGAGTTTGGCGGTCATTTTCAAATGTATATACATATGTATATGGAAAAATAAATAGTTCACTTGATTTGTTTTGTCGAGTGTGACTGGAACCTCAGAAACCAAGAAAAAAAATAGCTTAACCCCGCTCTGTTTAATCAGGTTAGTAACCAGTAAATATCAACAAAAAATATAATTAATAATTATTTTAGCCCGATACTATCACGATAGTGACTTCGAAATTGAGTTTGAACGAAACTGGAAAATCGTTTACGCATTTCACTTGAAACATACGTGGTAATATTTTCTTATTTTCCAGATTTTTCTAACGGTTGAAGAAGCTCTGTTCGTCAACCTTTTGTCCAATGCACCAATGTAGAAAACGTGTAGAAATGTCATCTATGTGTAGTATTAAAACAAGTGTAAAAAATGAATTTCGATTAATATTAAAGTAATTTTCCAACACCACAAACAGTCGAAATTATTATCAAACCTTGTTTGATTAAACCTTATTATATGAATAATAAAATCAAAATGAGTACTTAAAATTATCAAATCTTTTAAGAAATTCATTCATCTATCGGATAAAATTCTGTGTTAAGTGCTGAGGGCTGCAGCTAGCCAGTAATCCAAAGCCGAATATCAAAATCGAGGAATATCAACGCAATCATGGATGGCAGCGCTGCCGGCGTCGCTGCTGTTAGACAGCATTTGCATGAGGGACAGCGGACAGCGCCCCCCGCAACAGTCAGAGTTAGTTGAATAAACAAATAATATAAGAATTATTTAGACAGCAATGGTGAGCAGCAATTGAATTATTTTTAAATTGCAATGAAAATGCCTTGTTGCATGTGCCCGAGTAGCGAAAGTGGTGGCCTTGTATTTGCGACGCTGAGGCATCTTCTTCTTTCCCTTAGTAGGCTGCGCCAGCTTACGCACTTTTGTTTTTGTATTTATGCAATTCGCCTGGGCATCGTCATTGTCCGTCTATCTATTATAACAAATATTTATTTATAAATATTCAATTGATTCGTTTATCTGCAGAACAAACTCAAGTCGAGCCAACACCGCGACAAGGTGAAGAAGTTTATTTCGCTGACACAGACAGGGGAACAGACGGCAATTTTTTGTCTGCAACAGAATGACTGGAAAATGGATCTGGCCAGTGACAACTACTTTCAAAACCCCGAGTATTATTACCGCGAGCTTGATCGGAAGCGCATCGAGCAGTTATTTATGCGATACCGCGATCCGAGTGATCCGCTAAAAATCAGTTCGCAGGGCGTGATTCGATTCCTAGAAGATCTAGACCTGAAACCCGACTCAAAGCTCGTCCTGATTATTGCGTGGAAATTTCACGCCGAGGTACAGTGCGAATTCTCACGGGATGAATTTACAAATGGCATGTGCGATCTGGGCATCGATAGCATTGAGAAACTCAAGTCGAAGCTGCCATTGCTGGAGATGGAACTAAGTGATCCTGTTAAATTCAAGGATTTTTATCACTTCACATTTAACTATGCCAAGGATCCGGGACAGAAGAGCATCGATCTGGATATGGCAATTGCATACTGGTGCATAGTTCTGAGCGGGCGCTTCAAGTTCTTGGACATTTGGTGCAAGTTCCTCGAGGAGAAACACAAGCGAGCCATATCGCGAGACACCTGGAATTTGCTCCTAGATTTTGCCACCAACATCGACGATCGGATGAGTAATTACGACTCGGAAGGAGCTTGGCCTGTACTTATAGACGATTTCGTTGAATGGTGCCAAGAAAACAATCATCTGAAGGAAGAGACATCGTCAGGGTGCCAGCAGCAGACGTCCCAAAGGAACATATCTAGCGCATACCCGACCTCGCATAGTACAAACATGAATTATGGCTAACGAATTGTTAGAGCTGCTATATTCTCATTAATAATAGATTTGCTTTTACTCTGATTATTCTAAATAATGAAGATATTAAGCAAGGCGGGTACATTTTCATTTTCTCTAAAAAAAAAAAGCGTAAAAATAAACAAAATTAGCAAATGTATTCGATGTATCGATTAGAGGCGTATCGATGGCGCTACTGCCTTACCATCTCTATGAGTGTGACCGTTTTGCTGATTATTGTTACAACGATTTTTCGCTCTGCTGTTGAAAATATTTATTAATATTCATTCTAGGGCCTGCGTGGCCCACGAATGCGGGTGTGTTAGACAGCGACAATACCGTGTAGAAAATGTAAAGTCATAAACTGTGTGTCCAAACTCTTTAAGTGTTCAAATGGCGAGGAGACATTGATTCTTGGTTCCCTCCCCTGCTCCTAACTACCGTAATTGCTGTGTCTGCGTGTGGGCGGTCATAAAGGGAAGGAGAGGAGTGGTGTTTGCCATCAAAAACTTTTTATTCACAAATCCCTTGCCCTTGGATAGTGGTGACTGGGCTCTGTATAATCAAATTTAAGCAAATAGTCAGCACGAATGCGATCCCAATTATCATGTGAATAACTCGCTCGTCTCGCCTCAAGTGGGCGAAATTTAAACAAATATATACACACGTACACACCCAAGAGAGCACGAACATTCATGTGTGTATATGTGAATATATGGTGTGTAAATAAATGCCACTAAACAGACCAAAATTAAACAAAAACAAACTTGGGCGCTGATAACCGCAGAAATCGGACTACGACAACGCGGCGACGTTGCCGTCCGTGCAGACCTCGGACCATCACAAGATCGGTTCTTTTAGCATAATCCCTGTCCGGCATCCGTAGATGGGCACAGTAGTGCCTGACATCCAGAATATTTAGACTACGCATCTTCTCATGTGACAATCGTAAAGGGACGGGACGGCACATTCTTTGTCTATTTACATAAGCGCACACACATATTTGTATGTTCATAATTGTGCACATCCATTTCCGATTCGACTATAGGCAGATATTAGCTCTGCGTAAGGATTGTCAGTGCCTTTGTTGGGATTGGCGGGCGAACTGGAACCTGAAAAGCCTTTGCCAGTCGAATGCTAATTGATTTATTTACACTACAGCAGCCGACGACATGCCAGCCAACAGCAACAGCAAATACACCACCAACAGGAAAAACAAAAGGCAAGACCGCTAAGATCAAAAGGTAGAAATCAAGATCATGAGTCGCCAGGATACATCTTCGTCGTTGTCAGGAGTGGAACCCCGTTCAGCGGAGGAAGCTGCCGGCACAACAACAACAACAACATCATCGCCTGCAGCCGCAGCTACCGGCAGTAAAATATCCACCTCAACGCCACAGAAAGGTGACGAGCCAGAGAAAGAGTTCATCAATCAGAGTGTGGCCAGCGAAATAGATGCAAGCGGCACCCTGGCTATATCTATGTCCGTTGAAAGCAGCGGCTCAACGGCCTCCACCATGAGTGGCAGTCCTGTAGCCAAGCGTCAACTGAGCACAGCTAATCTGTCCCGAATACGTCCCCAGTCGAGTTACTCGGCCCGGGTTCTCATCTTTGACGATTCAGATCAAGAGGCTGCTGCCGCAGCAGCTGCCCTAGCAGCCGCCTCGTCTTCCTGCAATAGCAGCGTGAAGTCGTGCAGCGGCCTGGAGATGCTTCCCACATCCCCAGCAAAGCTGTCGATTGGAAACGATAGCACCAATAGCTCCTCGATAATGAGAAACCTGAACCTAACCAAGAGCTCGTCCGGGGGTCTTTCGGGCAGTTCCAGCTCATTGCACTCACGTGGCTACACGGCTCTGCTCCGCAAGATTTCCTATCAGCAGCACACTAACTCCTTGCGCACCGTCAGCAGCGGTAAGAGATGACTGATGCCCACTCAGTTCAACGAGCAATTTTTATAGAGATTAATTACAATATCGTTCTGCTCATTTTGCAGAAGCATCCAACTTGCTACGCATGCGGCACTCCTCGCTGGGAAAGTCAGCTCCCTGTCTCACTGGCAACTATTTCCGTCATGAGCTGGCTGGTCCGCCTATGGCTCAGGCCAAAAGCCATTCAGCAGTTCCCTCGCCTGGCCACAACATCTCGCGGTCGGGTAGCTGTGCATTGATTGGCATGGCCAAGCATCATCACCATAATCTCCATGGTGTGGTGATGCGTGGGTCGGCTGTTGGCGGGACGGGCTCGGGCTCCACTGGTGTCTCCTCCTCCAGTGGTGTCGCTCATCACCGTCTCAGCCTGGTCACGAATGCTTCTGCTGTAGCCTCGACAAGCGGTTCGCGTGCGCATTCTCCGTACTCGGCCAGTCCCGTGGACAGTCCGCGCCTCAATTCGCCCATGCCATTTGCATTTGCTCCGATCAAGCGGATCGCCTCGTGCCGTGGAGTGGTGGACGGACGTCGCTGGTCTGTGGCATCATTGCCCTCCTCCGGCTACGGCACCACCCCAGGCAGCTCCAATTTATCGGTAAAGTTGATAAGAAGAAAAGAAAAAAATCTATAAGAATTTTGAAATGATCATACGTTTTGTTGCAGTCTCAGTGCTCCAGTCAGGAGGCACTTAACCAATTGCCGCACAACATTCCTCCGTGTGTCCAGGATGCTGATGCTGCCGCTGTTGCCGCCGGCGCCTGCTGTGCCGAGCATCTTAAGCAGCACTGTCCCAGGCATTGTGTTTTGTTGCTGGCCGCTGCCCAGAAGCAGCAACAGCAGCAACAGCTGCACAAGCAGAAGCTTACGATTGCAGGTTGTAGCAATTGTTGTGCTGATTTAAGCCTTGCCTGTAGCGGAAAGGGTCAGGATAATAGCAACAGATCAGCCTCGAATGCCACGCCAGGCTCAGGCGGCGTCGCCCCCGGACGATTGTCGCCCCATTTTCGTCCACGCTCCCGATCGTTATCCAGTCCCTCGCGCTCGCCCATTGTGGACAATGAGATTGCGGTGATGAATACTTTGTACAAGGAGCGGTTTCCCAAGGCTACCCAGCAGATGGAGGAGCGTCTGAAGCACTTTATCCAAGAGAATAAAAGCGCTGCTTGTAGCAGCTTTCGGGACTCCCAGCCCATAGTGCGGTTTGTGCATCATCAGGTGCTAGAAATGGCCCGCGATTGCCTGCATAAATCTCAGGCGAAGCTGATTACCTCGAAATATTTCTACGAGCTGAGTGAGAATCTGGAGCGATTGCTGGTTGAGACCAAGGAGAAGTCCCCGGAAGCAGCCGCCGAGCTGAGTGGCGTGATCAAAAAACTATTACTGATCATCTCGCGCCCGGCACGCCTGCTCGAGTGCCTGGAGTTCGATCCCCAAGAGTTCTACGAACTACTGGAGGCGGCCGAGGGTCATGCCAAGGCCATGCCCGTCATTAAGGCAGATATACCACAGTATATCATACACAAATTGGGCCTGAATCGGGATCCCATTGCCGAGCTGCAGCAGGAATTGCGGGAAACACAGCAGATGTGCTCGGAGCAGGTCACAGTGAATGCGGACCTGCTGCAGCAGGGCGGTTCTCTGCTACTCAACTCGCCTCTCACCAGTGCCGCCAAGCAGTTAAGCAGCCTGGCCCTCGATGCCGTGCCTCTGGATTATCCCGTCCATCCCAGTGGAACTAGTACGCCACAGCAGCCACCTCAAACGCCAGTGGCTGCGTGTGACGGACAGCCTGCTCCCAGCTTCGCCTTGGCGGTTAGTCAGCTGAACGAGGCGGACGAATGTACGGGATTTGGGTCAGGCACTGGTACAGAAACCTCGCAGCTCCAGACATCTGCTGCAGGTATACCACAGCCGTTACCACACGAAAACGACTTTGACATTGCCAAGCTGATCTCAAATGGTGCTTATGGAGCCGTCTATTTAGTGAAGCACAAGACGACCCGTCAACGCTTCGCAATGAAAAAAATCAACAAGAATAATCTCATTTTGCGCAATCAGGTGGAGCAGGTGTTCGCCGAGCGGGACATTCTGTCGTTTGCCGACAACCCCTTTGTGGTCAGCATGTATTGCTCGTTTGAAACGAAAAAACACCTGTGCCTGGTCATGGAGTATGTGGAAGGCGGGGACTGCGGAACCCTTCTGAAGAACATTGGACCGCTGCCGGCAGATATGGCTCGCTTCTATTTCGCCGAAACAGTATTAGCCGTGGAGTATCTACACAGCTATGGCATTGTCCATCGCGACCTAAAGCCGGACAACTTGCTGATCACAGCCCTGGGCCACATAAAGCTGACCGATTTCGGCCTCTCCAAGATGGGCCTCATGTCGCTGGCAACCAATTTGTACGAGGGCTACATTGACTCGGAGACTCGACAGTTTTCTGATAAGCAGGTGAGTAGGGTACCACCTAAAGAGAGCTGGAGACCTAGACAGAGCAGAAGAAAGAGGCTGGCACACAACTATGCTTCCCGGATGGCCTCACATTTCCTTAGCTTACGTGTCCTAATAATGTTTCGCTAATATTTTTCATTCATCCCCTATGTTCTATACCGATCCCGCTCTCTGTTTCAGGTGTACGGTACACCCGAGTACATTGCCCCGGAAGTTATCTTGAGGCAGGGCTATGGCAAGCCCGTCGACTGGTGGTCCATGGGAATCATCCTCTATGAGTTTCTCATCGGCTGTGTGCCCTTCTTTGGCGAGACGGCCGAGGAACTGTTTGCCCATACAGTCAACGATGACATTGAGTGGCCGGACAGCGAGGACTGGCCGGTGCAGTCCGAGGCGAAGGACATTATAACGCAATTGCTGCAACAGAACCCGCGCGAACGATTAGGAACCCAAACGGGTGCCATGGAGATGAAAGAGCATGTGTATTTCCTCGGCATGGACTGGAATTCGTTGCTGCGCCAAAAAGCCGAGTTTGTTCCTCAGCTTTCGCATGATGATGATACCAGCTATTTTGATAGTATATTTCACTGATAATTTAGGGCTTAACTGATCGAATGGCTAAGGATAATCTTTCTCTTCAAATAGCTCGCATGGATCGCTATAATCATGATCTGGCTGGAGAGGATACGGACGACACGGACGATACTCCCGTCTTCGGCAGCTTCAATTCGTGTACGCCGCAATATAGAAAACAGCACTACAGCTGGTCCCGCCATGCATCATCGACATCAACTGCAACTGATGAGGCAAAGGCCACACCACCCACCTTGACATGCTTGCCATCACGTGCCCAGGCAATGCCAATGCCAGTGGCAGCGGCCAGCACCTCAACAGGCGCCTTGCCTAAACTGAGAACGGGAACAGGAGCAGGACTAGCATCCAACGAAGGAGCTGTCAACAAGTTCTTGAATACGCCACAGCTGCGTAAACTGGATGTGAGCTTTCTAGGGAGAAATATCCAATAAGTTATTCCAACAATTGAATTTATTTTTTTTTGGTACAGCTCTCTTCCAGCTGCCTGAAGGTGCCGTCCACCCCAGATGCGGATTATTTGCCCGAACTGCTGCACAACGTCACCATTGGCAACGATGCTGAGCTACGGATGCTCAAGCACTATCTGCAGCAACCGACACCGGCTGCCACGCAACGGCTGCACCAACGACACAGCATGCCACCAAACACAAACACTACCATCATTAGTACGCCGGCCACTCCTCCGCCGGCTACTCAGGTAGCAGGAGCCACAGTCACAGCCACAGCAACAACGGTGAGCAGCTTTTCCCGCAGCACCCCGGAGAGCTCGCAGACGGACAGCGACGACTTCTCGCCGCAGATAAATCGCAAGCGGAAAGGAGTCTGTGCACGAGATATTCTGCCGCGCTTCTCCATTTCGATTGAGGATGAGACAATTTCCGCGGGCAGCTCATCGACTGAGAACATGATTTTGCCAAGAGAGCAATCGCCGCTGGCCTTGCAGCACCAGCCCAAGTCGATGGACGGTACCAGCAGTGGCAGCATGAAACACCATCGCTCGAGATCGATTGTCAAGTCCGCCTCAGCCTTGGGCCTCTCTCTAATGACGTCGCTGGACAATAGTCAATTGGCAGCACAGCTGTGTGGAATTCAGTCTCCAGGTGGAGGAGGCAACGGCTCCAGCACGGCAAGCTCCAGAGATACATCCCCGTGTCGAGAGCTGTCGCCGCTAGTGACCAATTTGAAGCCTCCGATCATTATTCGACGCGGGCCTCGAGGTTTCGGCTTCACTGTCCACACAATACGCGTCTATTATGGTGACACGGACTTTTATACGATGCATCATCTCGTCATGGCCGTAGACGAGGGCAGTCCGGCCTTTGAGGCTGGACTACGGCCGGCAGATCTCATTACCCATGTAAATGGCGAGGCCGTGCAGGGCCTGTTTCACACGCAGGTGCTGCAGCTGCTCCTTAGCGGAGGCGAGCACGTCACCTTGAGGGCCACACCGCTGGAGCACACCAGCATACAGAGCGGCGGTCGCAAGCGCGATCTAATGCAGAGCAAGCTGGCCAAGAAGGGCTTGAATCGTCAGAAGAAGCAAACCAAACGGGAGCACGATAAGAAACGAAAAACCTCGCTGTTCCGCCGGATAAGCAGCAAGCGTGCGAACGCAGAGATGCAGCAGGTTAGTCATGTGAGTCATCATCAAAAGACACATCAAGTATTCGCTAATCCTATGTTTCTCCCTTCTTCTGACAGTTTTCCGCTGGCACCAGCTCACCCACCACTCCATCGGCCAGGAACCTGTCGCCACTAGACTCTTCGTATCACAGCAGTAGCTGCTGCCAGTCGGCAGCAAACTCCTCATCACAATCCACTTCACCATCATCCTCGTCGCCCAACACGCCCACAGCCACCAGTGGCAATGGAGGCGCATGCAGTGCTAATGGTGGATCTGTCCCTGCACCAGCTATTCCATCAGCTCTCTGCGTGCAATTGCCCTTGGCCACCCCTCTTGCGCAGGTGGTGCTGCTCCCACATGTGGGTGCTGCTGTTGGCAGTAGCCCCACCTCTGTGGGAAATGTTCCAGGTGAGTGTGATTCCGCCAAGGAAAAGTATAAACAAAGAAATGTGTGAAATTTGTTTGTTTTCTAGTTTCTCCCACCGGCGTCGTTCCGCAGCTATATCAACGTCCATCTACTCTACATGGTCTTAAGCACAAGCTTCATGCCGCCACCGCCGTGATTGCAGGTGGAAGCAGCACCAGCAATCCTTCCGGTGGATTAAAGACCTTGCACTCCTCGAGCAACAATTCGCTGCCAAATCGTAGGAAGTCTGTGGGTCACATTCCGCTCTCGCCGTTGGCGCGCACACCATCACCCTCGCCTTTGCCGTCGTCGCCTACGCGGTCCCCGTCTCCGCTGGCCTTTCCATTGGTCGGACATCAGCCGGGGGCCTCCAATACCACGCAATCGTACAGTCCTGGGAGCACGCTGCCTACCTTGCAGACGGCGACGAACGCCAGCACCAAGAAGGGGGGTTTTGCTAGGACCAAGTCGGCTGAACCGAGCTCTCCTTTGCTACGTCGCGCCTTGTCGCCGGATCGACTGCACCCCCGCAGTGCCGAAACAAAGATTTCGCCTCTCTGCTGCTCGCCGCCGATCAAACAACCAACTCATCAGCGGGTGGTGACTACCACTTGGAGATCAACATCAACACCCACTGGGGCCAATGGTGCTTCAACTGGCGGAGGAGTAGTCGGAACAGTAGGCAACGGAACAACGCCCCAACAGCTGGTTCCCTCAACTGAGGAATCACAACGACAGTCCGGGGCAGGGACTGGCGCATGTGCCTCGACAGTGGCAGGTACGGATCCAAGCTCGACCGCTGTCGTTACGTTGGCCAGCTGCGAGCTGCTGCCCCGAATTGCCGAAGAGAAGGATTCACCCACCAGCACCCAGGACATCAGCAGTGTGTCCGAGGGATTTATGCCCGCCATAGAAGAGTATACCGAGGGGGAGTCATCGTCGCCCACACAGACCCTGGAGAAGCCGGAAAAGATAAAGGGCAACAAGCAGGAGCGGGAGACTGTAGGAAAGGCCAAGAAGGTCGAGCTGGGTAAGAGCTTGATGAACTTTCAATGTTGAGTATCAAATAGTATCAAGTCTGCTTCCGTTTTAGTTAAATCTGCACCAGATTCTGCTAAAAGCAAACCCCTGAGTAGTGGCTGCAAAACTTCGATTACAACGACAAAGCCGGCCAGTCAAAGTGTGACCATATCAACAGCACCACGCAAGGATCCAACGGCTGTCACACCAAACGAAGCTCCCACATATACAGCCACTTCCGCCGCCAAGCAAAAAAAGTAGCGCCAGAGAAACTGTGGGTGTGGACTCGGATGCTTATGCTTTAAATGAAGTGTTTAAATGTGTGTTATAATTTTATAATTGTCAGTCCAACTAGTGAGTGGAACGCAGCAAAGGCAGAGAGGAATGAACAGCCGTAGGAATTCAATATATGTATAACGAAGGATTGCGTTTTGACATTTTTTCAAAGTAAACCTTTTTTTTCGCAAAACACAATATTAGCAATGAAATTAATTAGAAAATTTGGAAAACTTGTAGTGTGTAGTACTATGTTGTTGCGTAACCGACAGATGGAGTTGGAATAAGGAAAGCAAAAATAAAGCAAAAGCTTTAAAATTGCAGTTAAAGCAAATCAAAGAGGCACCCCACAATTATGTATTGTAAATAGATGTGTAACATTGATAGATCGAACCATATTTGGATGATAAAGAAGGAAAACAGTCAGTTTGAGCAAAGTGCATGTAGTGAGGTCTGCTTACGCAGATATACTCGTTCATATTTATAAAACTTTTGCGAATCTATACCCTATGCCTAATTCAATATAAATAAATGTTATATGTGTGTAATAAAAAACCAAAAACCAAAACTCCGCTTTTCTCAACTATTGACATTTTTTAATTAATTGTTCTTTTTCTCAACTATTAACATTTTTTAATTAATTGTTCTTTAACCAATGTTTACCTAGAAATTAAGCTTATTTTTGTAAATAATAGAGAACATTTAATGGTCGGTTTAGTGAACCACAGTCGCATGGACGCGACGCTTAGCATTGACTGTCCAGCTAGAGATCTATTTAACCATGAACTCGTGGGCCACCAAGTAAGCGAGGCGGTTGACTTTAATCAAGATAAGTCAGAAGGCCCCGAAGGCTCCCTCTTAAACGAGGAAGAACGTTGCTGGACGTTAGACAACAGACAGCTAAGCCAGACCGAATTGATGACCTCGATTCGTTCCGATAATGACACCAATTCGGAGGAGATATGTTATCCACAAACACAGGACAAAGGACTGCAAAAAAATTAATGCTATCTACTCCTACCATCTCCGCAAATATCCCATTAAACAGCCTCTGATAGGCGGAGAAACAACATCCAGCTGGAATCTATCAACAGATCGCGAAAAACATGGACGCCTTTTCGGAGGAAAGTGAGATTAATGACACCGTGATGCATATCAACAACAGAAGAAAATTGTTTCTATGTGAGCAAGTCGAATACAAAAAAGCTGATAGTAGAGTTTTCGAATAACAATAAAACTATGAAGGATCTTTGCCATGTACGATGTGTCCTCCATGTTCCAGTTCAGTAAATTTAGAGTGAACTTGAGATTTTTAGAAAAGAATGGAGAATATTTAATGGTGGAGGAGAACTTTTTTGATGAGGCTCCTCTCTCCTATTGCTTCGATTCGCACAAGAGAGCGAAAAACAACTGCGAGTTGATAAACTTAATGCAACTAATAATATATGCAGACCAAATAATACTTGTAAATAAATCAAGAACGCAGAAAAACTTACGGAAAGTCAGAGGAAAACTCTGAAAAATATTATAAGAAATAATTTTGTTACACAAAGACTTCAGTTGCGAAAATAATGCGCAGAACTCTTGACCCAAGAAGTGAATAGAGTTTTTGGAAAGAAATCGGTTGAGAAATGGAAGGAGATATTAATAGGCTCATACAGATATAGCAAGTTTGCGGGAATTTTATTATATAAATAATAATCACATTTCTCTCTCAGTAAATAAACGAAATATAAAAGAAGGAGCACCGAAAGCTGCAAGCCAGGGTGCCAGAGCCAACCAAGAGAGCGATCCGGCCATGATGGAATTATATAAGGTGGTCTCCTCGGATGCCTCCTCGGAAGCCTCGTTCGGTATTTAGTCCCTTAACGTTCAGTGCGTGCTCGCTTGTTGAAGAGAAAGCTTTTGGTAAGCATTGTCACTAGCCATACAGTATACCAAAGACAATATAACCGTATGGTTAGTGGCATTGTTAAGGGACTGCTTTTTCCGACGAAACCAGCTTATATAATTGCATCATGGATCCAGCTACGCGGCTCCACTAACCATACAGTGGATCCGGCCCTGAATAGGTCGCTACATCACATCAGCCCTCAAAACAAAACGAAAAACCAATTCAAGCGGCCAACAATTGTAGAGCCCACACACAAGCACAGTATGTGTGAATACATGGCACACACACGTTTACGTAAACTGAAATATCGAACAAAGTCGGTTTCGGCAGCTAAAAATTATTCTATGCATACAATCATATATTTTGGAGTGTACACGTACACAACACATGCATGCTTGCTGCCAGTCGGCTAGTGTGCCGTCATGAGCCGATCGCGGCCATTCCCAGAGCCGAACGCGGCCATTCCCAAAGCCCAAGATCTGGGAACGTTCGCTGCAAGCTCAGCTGCGCCCCTTTCGTTGTATGAACTGGCACATCTATATACTGTATGGTTAGTGGCGGCTCTGATAGAATTTGAAATTTTTGCAACACTTCACCGCAGTTTGACATTTTCTCACACTAGAGTTGCCCAGTTGCCAGCTGTGCAACTGCAACTTTTCATTTTAATTGTATTTTCAAAGTGTGGAATATGCTGCCCAAACTTAAAATCTCGGCCTTCCTACTTAAGGTAAGCTTTAAACACATTATATGAAGGTAATTGCTTGTTAACACTTGTGCATGTGTTGCAGCGGCTGGAACGCGTGAAGCAACAATGCAGTGGCTGTTTATACGGAGTTTTCTATGGTGACGGCACATTACTTCTACTCAGTTTCAACCTGTCCAATGTGGGGCAGCTGAACTATGAGCAAATCCAACACAGATTCCCAGCCGAACTGGATCTCTGCGGCCTGGTGAAGTTCGGCGACTGCACGGATGCCGAAGCGCATCTGAATGAGGTCATCAAATCGGTGGACATCACAGACAATCCCATATTGTTGAAATGTGAGCTGGGCACCTTGGTGGGAATGCGTGCCTCCTTTTTTGTGCACGGCAAGTTGGAAGAGGTTCCCTACGATGTGATGGAGAGTGAGCAGCTCTACAATGACTTTTGTTTTACGCGTTTGCAATGTGGATTTTACTTGCAAACGGCTGCCACGCTTGAGTGTGTGGCAAAGGAGATGCACGTATTGCGAAAGCGTGTAGCTGACGGCAACCTGGTGTTCAATGTGCCACACACAAACATTTACATCAACAGCTGCGGACCATTGGACAAGAAACTTAGAGGTGAATCCCTGATACACGATCTCGTCCAAGCCATTCCCATCCCAAGTGGCAAGGAGAATGTAGTCGCTGATAAGAAAAAGACCAAGTCATCGGCTCAGACTCAGTTGGCCAAACACTTTGGAGCCACTGGATGTGAATACGACCTAATCAACATTGACGTGATGCGTATTCAAACTCGTGATCCCCTGGCTCGGGATTCTCCGTCACATCCTGCTCTAAGCATTGCCGTTACCACAGAGGAGCAAACCAAAGCTCAGGTCCCATTGGAAATAGAGGCCATGGCTATACTTTGTAAGAACACAAAGCTGCAGCGACTGTACGATGTGCTCATCGAGAGCATTTGCCGCGCCCTCAGACTGTTCGAGCAAAGCCTGAACGATCATTTGGCAGAGTCGGAGGGTGGAAGGCTTGCGGTTCCTAGGAGCCACCACTTCTATCCGCAGGAATTTGGACACTTTTTGAGCTGCGCCTATCTGGAGGGGCTGGCCGATGATGAGCCGAGCATGCAAGAGAGGCGCAAGCGACTCCATCGTCAGTTTTCTTTGCCTGTTACACGTCCGTATTTCAGAAGAGCAAACCAGTGCCACTTTCTGGGTGAGGTTGAAGATGCTCCGTGGACTCCACTTCTAAACACACATGTAGGTGTCAGGCCCAGTGCTGTCAACGATGGAAAGGAGTACCTAGTCAACGGCAATTATCATTACTATCACTATCTGCAACAGCAGGTGCAGGATAAGGGCTGGGGCTGTGCCTATCGATCTCTCCAGACCATCTGCTCGTGGTTCGTGCTACAGGGCTATTCTAATGCACTCATTCCAACTCATTTGGAAGTACAGGAGTACCTGCACAAAATAAAAGACAAGCCGTATTCCTTCGTGGGCTCTTCCCAGTGGATTGGCTCAACGGAGATCAGCATGTGCCTGCAGGGATTCCTTAAAGTAGACTCAAAAATTCTACATGTGGCTTCTGGAGCGGAGCTACCCACAATCGCATCCGAGCTGGCCATGCACTTCCAAACCCAAGGCACACCGGTAATGATTGGCGGCGGTGTTCTTGCCCACACCATCATCGGGGTCGATTATTGTGTACAATCAGGCGAAGTCAAGTTCCTAATTCTCGATCCCCACTACACGGGTCCCGATGACCTGGCAACTATACAGATCAAGGGATGGTGCGGCTGGAAGGGCATGGACTTCTGGTCCAAAGGCAGCTACTACAATCTGTGCATGCCGCAGAGACCGATTTTGTACTGAATTCCAGAGATCGAAGCTTTTCCATTTGCATTTAAGCATGATCTTTGGCCTAAATTTTCATTGGTTTCATGTGTTTGTATATGAGTTTGTGTACATCAGCTGAAGTAGAGTTCTTCTTTTATACATGTAAACCATTATACGTATATAGTATCTTAGATGTGTATCGCTTTTATTTCTCACACTTATTGCAATATATTAAACCATTAGCTTAGAAATTATTTTGCTCAAAACTGGTATTGTGAGCTGCTAACCGCCACCCTTGGAATACTTCCTCCAATAGCGCTTGACATCGTCGTGGCCATGTTTCTGCACCACCATTGTGCGTGTGCGTTCATTTTGCCAAACCAAGACATGAATCGATTGCGCATAGTCGCGCAGAGTGACGAAATCGTTTTGGGATAGAAACTGATTGTAGACCACCCCCTCCGTATATGTGAACCGGTTGCGCTCCATCTCCCAGAGTTTGATTTGATCAACAACAGTGGGCGGGAGACAGGACTTTGATTGGATGGCCGACTCCACTAGTTTCATGTTTGGGTGTGCGTACTGCTGTAGATAGGAGACAATCTGTTCTGCGGTAATGCCTCCTCGCAATGCCTGACGCACAGAGTCGCGGGTCAGCACGCCGACGACCAAGTTGGGAAAGCGATACAGCAGCTCGGTAAAGAGGCCCAAGACCGCCACTTGGAGAGGAGAATCCGTGTAGGCATAGACTCGATAGTTTGTCTCTACCACAATGTAGCCACTGTCCTGCATGGCCTCCTCGTCGGACACTGTCATTGTGGTAGCCGCTTCCTTGCTGGTTACGTTCAGGGCAAGACGTGTGGGATAAAACCGGCCCTCCTTCCGTTTGCGTTGGAAAACCAAACCAAACTCGCGCAGATGCTGCAGAAAGGTCAACATCTGGTTGTTCATGCCCTCTGAGCTGTAATCTCGACCGAGGGTGGAGAAACTGAGCTGGAACAGCATGGAAAGACACTCTGGCAGAGATATTCCCCGCTCTTCGCATGTATCCAAATACTGGAGCATAAAATGCCAGACCTGTGCGCGTGTGTCCAGCAGCAAAAATTGAAATCCTTGGCGGGTGATTGTAATGCCGTCTCGTTCGTCGCGCTTCATGAGGTTAGCATGCAGTAGAATCCTCACAGCATCCGGACTGATAGCTTCTGCATCGGTGCCATTACGATTTCCAGTGCCCACCATGTAATGAAGCACACAGCGCCATCGAGACATGGCATAGGAGTCCAGGAAGGCTATGTCACGTGGCTTCGAGTCTTTCTCCAGCGTATTGGTCATTGGCCATGGCTTGCCGCCGCCCAAGAGAACCTGGCGAACGCTTTTCTTAAAAGTGGGGGACAGCTCCCATGCAGACAGGCCGCCTGGTATGGCTGTCACACGCCAAACATTCAGAGCCGTGAGGCAGCTGGTGGCCTCCGTTTGCTCCCTGCAAGTGAATTAAATTATTGGCTGGCGTATCGGCAATCATGCTCCATCTTACTTGGCAAATCGTTGTGCCCCCCAAGAGGTGACCACAGCCTGTGGCACGGGCTGATCCACGAATAAAATACGTATAATGAACTGTCTGGCTAGTTCGGGCAGCTCCCGGAAGACGGCTAGGCATATCGGAGGGTAATTGTATAGTTTCTCCAGCGTCTCGGGGGTCTGGCGAGTGCGAAGATACTCTTGGAAGTCCTTGCACTCGAGATTGGCCGGCCCCTGCACAAGGGGCACGACACTACTGCAGCTGCTGGTACTATATCTCCCGGATTTTGTGTCGGCCATGAAGCAATAAAATTATAAACAAAACATAATAATTCATCTTCGCATCGATAGCCGGGCTCGTACGATAGTTTCTCCAACTCGATATTTTTTATAGTAAGTCAGCTGTTGTTTTCTGACCTCGTGGTACGTACAATAATTTTTGTTACATTTTAAGCACAGTGTGGCTAAAAACAATATGGGTGACGACGAGGAACACTACAACCCAAAGGCTCACAAGAAGCTCCTTATGGCCATTGGCAGCTTGGGAGGCGTCCAGCACATACAAAAATCAACGCGAGACGAGCGCCAGACGCGTCAGGATGAGTTTCAGCTGGTTAAAAGCGTGAAGGCAGTGGAGTCGGAGCACAATCCCAGAGCCGTTGGTCTGAATGATCTGGTGCAGATACTGCGTACCTCGTCCAAGCACATTCAAACTGGCAAGAAGCTCAAGAATATCCAGAGCACCAAGAAAGTGTTGGAGAAGCCGCTTGAAAAGCCAGCAGCGGATCGAATTAGGCGCACCATTGGCTATGAGGGAGTGAATAAGAAGCTCGGTCGATGGGATGCTGTGGTGGCCCAACAGCGTTCGGCAGAGACCCAGGTAACGAGCAATCCATGGTAAAATGTCGAGAATACAAAAATTGAATAATTTCAGATCTTTCCGTTACCCTCGGAAACAATTTATGTTAACACAGCGGCCCATGCCAAGCCACTGAAGACGAGCATTCAGTCTGACTTGGCTAAGGAGCTGGAAGCCAGCAAGCTCAAACTCCACGAGCTGCGCAAAGCACAAATTGGCGACACAGCAGATGAGAAGGTCTTGGCCCAACAGGAGCGAGAGCTACTACAGAAAAAGCTCACTCGCGACGAGCTCTTTGCCCGTCGCAGGGAATTGGCCTATCTGAAAATGCGTGAATCCCAGAAATCGGCAAAGGCGCGCATGCAGAACAAAATCAAATCGAAAAAATTTCATAAACTGCAGAAACGTCAAAAGATACTCGAGCAGATGAAGGAGTTCGAACTCCTGCAAAAGACAAATCCAGAGGCAGCGCTGGAAAAGCTGAATGCCCTGGAAAAGATTCGCGTCCAAGAGCGGGCCAGCTTGCGACACAAGAACACCGGCACATGGGCCAAGAATTTACAGGTGCGAGCTAAATACGATAAGGATGTGCGTAAGGATCTCGCCGAGCAGCTGGCCGTCAGCCGACAGTTAACTCAGAAAAAACAAGAATCGGACAGCGAAACTGAAATAAACATTAAGCCAGACACCCATGAGGAGGAGGAGGGGAAAGAATATGATCCCTTTAACCCGTGGACAAAGCGGAAAGTACCCGGAAAAGCTCCAACACAAAAGGATCCCAATTGGCGCAAATATTGGACAGAGCGCAATCAAAACACGAAGTTGTTGGAAGAGCATCGTAAGGACTTTGAAGATGTGGAACACGTTATAGAAGAGAAATCGAAATCGGAATCCAAACCGAAAACATCGAACAAAAAGGTCAAAAAGTCGAAAGTTTCTTTTGAGAACGGTTGGGAAGTGGAGAAAGTCGATCCTGAGACTAATGTAATAGGCGAAAGCAAAATCATTGACGATATATTTGAAGCACACGAAGATAAGCTAAGGGCAAAGCTGACGAAAAAGCTAGAAAACCTGCAGCAGCAAGCTGATCGACTTAAAGAAGCTCCTGCTAAAAGCAAGAAGGTGAAAAAAAAGAAGGATAGCTTGAAAAACCTCAAGGCTTTGGCCATTAAAGTGATTAAACAACGTGTTGAAATTGATGAGCCTTTAAACCATGCTGATGAGTCCCAGCAACAAGTGGACGCCGCCAATCCGGAGAGTGTTCCTGAAGTCGCAGTGGATTCAGCTGTAGACACCATTGACCTCACTAAGGTAACAACTTTAGTGTGGACGCAGAAGGAGCGTAGTTCAGGTGCACTCAATGACGCGTTGACCATTAGTCAGGCCTTCGAAGACGATGACATCATAGCTGACTTTAACAGGGACAAGAACAAGGACTCTGAACTAAAAAACACCGAGCTCCAGCTGGCTATGCCTGGATGGGGTTCCTGGGCTGGTGCTGGGATATCTCAGGAGGTCATGGAAAGGCGCAATAAACGACTCTTGCTCAGATTGGCTGCTCCAGAAAAGCGTCGCGATGACAACAAGGATAATCTCTTTATTAATGAGACAAGTACCAAGCAGGCACGGCAGCACATGGTTTCCACCGTACCATTTCCTTTCAGATCCTTGGCCGACTACGAGGCCAGCATTCGGGCGCCCATTGGCAGGAACTTTGTCCCAGAGACGGCCTTCCGAATGCTGACACGTCCCGCTGTCATTACACGTAAGGGCCAGGTTATTGAGCCAATGGATGAGAGTGAACTGGTTAAGCCGGATAGGCGTCTCAGGCATATTGTTGATAAGAGAATAAAACGCCTGCCCAAGGTGGCGCCAAACGCCCAGAAAGCTTAAAATTAAATTTGAAAATAAACGGAAGACGTAAATATATATTTTGTTTGTTGTAATAAAGATATCGTAATAAATATCTTGAACAAGATCCATATCGGTGGCTATCGATGTTTTTATTTGCTGATTATGTTTTCTCCCATCTCTAAAACAAGAACATTAAATAGATTTTAAAATATTCTGTTTTGAAATTGAAAAGTTTGTTATTGGTGAAATGTACGAACTGAAAACATTATTGCCGCAATTCGACATCAAGCTGCCCACCTGCATGTACGAAATTAAGAACGTTAGCCTATCGGCTGACCATGCAACTTCCACAACATCAGGCGGCTGCGTAAGTCAATTGCCAATCAGAATTTTGGCAGAATATTTTCGACGATTTATATTAAAATGGTTTACGAAAGAATGTCTACATCGCCCTTCCTTCCATTCCAAAATTTGTTTATTAGAAGGGTCAACTCAGGCTTTTCCACAGCGATTCGGAGTTCAGCAGCAGCATCACTTCAAGAAAATCAGTCACATGTGCTCTTGATTTGGAAATTTTAGGCCAACAAATACAACATCTACTAAAGGTTAAAACAACAACTACAACTACTAAACTCCGATTTTCTATTTATAATGATTACCAGCTAACCAAAAACAAAACAAAGAATATGGTACCACAGCGTTTTGTGTTGCTTGTTGTTTTCTTGTGTTCCAAATGGCAGCATTACCTTGGCTACGGTCTCGACCCCGACTCCCATATTTAAATGTTATATTCTCCCTCTCCGTTGCAGGATGATACGGTATCGGTAGCAATGCGCCAAGAGAAAGTTATCCAGCAACTGCAAGGGCTTAAGACGCAGTTGGGTAAAATTCGAGCTGGTCTGGGCGTTTGCGGCAAGACGGTGCAACACCCAACCGCCGATCAGAATGGTGGACTAAAAGAGGTTGGTGGCAGTTTAAGGTTGTCCAGACTAAAACCCAATATGTACACCATACATGCAATCTCCACACAGGTGCCACTCCAAGACATTGTAATCAATGGACATCCCAACTTCATACCCTACGCTCTGCTGGCATTGAAGAATGCCTGGAGGGATCTGTACACGGTGAATGTGAAGACCTTCACACATTCGACAATGTCGGATATTGGACCGGCAGCTCGTGAATTTGAGGCGAAGCTAGCCAATATATCAGCTAACAATGGTCTACCCAATATCAATGTCACTCTAATTTGGAAAAACTGTAAGCGAAATGATTACGGATGCGCATAGTCCACTAAACTTGGGTGTCTTTCGACAGGCGAGCACACGGAGATGATCAGCTCACCCACCATGTATGTGCCCATTTATGGCGAAGTGAATGTCATTCGGTACTTGGGCCGCGTGGGACCCGTCGAATATCGTTATGAGGGATCTCCGCTCTGCAATGAGATCGATCTCGTCCTCGACATTTGCTATCAGCTATTGCGCTGCAGCACCCACAAAGCTCAAGTAGCCATGGTGAGGCTACTGGACAAGCGTCTGCAGCAGCAGCAATATTTCGGTGGCTCCAAGATTTCTGTAGCTGATATCGGCGTCTATAGCTCGCTGATACGTATTCCTACCATTACCGACAAGGATCTGACCCCGGCGCTTCTGGCATGGCGGAAACAGGCTAATCGAGTTACACAAATATAAATTATCAAATCGACAAAGCGAATAAATAAATAACCTTAATTCTTGATGCTTTAAAAGACGATCCCATTTTCTTTTTAGATATTTTATTTGGCTTATTTATCTTTGTTGCAATTCTGTTTTTGTTTACGCAATGTGGTTTTTTTTCTCTTGTTCCTGATCCTGTTAATTATTTAACTGACTGCAAATTTTTCACTTACAAATGGCTTAACTGGTACATTGCATTTTTGCTTTTATGAAATCCGTTGATTGTTCAATATATGTCGCGTTCTATGTATATATATTTGTGATTTAGTAGCTTGACGCGCTCTGTATGTAGGATGATGCCTCGCCATGACGGTTATTGCAGTTTGCTCATGAAAATTTAGGTAGTATTTCACAATATACATACATACATATGCGTATGTATATACATATATAGTATCTTGTTTAATCATAATCAGTTTTTGGTTGAGTTATGTAAATGTTCTGTTTGCCGTGGGTTTGTCAATACATTTATAAAAAGAAATCGGAAAGGCCTCTGAACTCCATAATGACTGGAAATTGAGTTGACCCATTAAACTAGTAGCTTATACAAATCTTAGGTTTAGTATGTCATTGATCAAATTGATATACTTCCGAATTGAGTAGCTAAAACTATTCTGGTGCCGTTTTTCTTGACTTCCGTACCCTCCAAAAAATATAAAATCAAGGTAAATCAATTCGTTATTCGTTTAAACTATGTAATGTAAATCATTATTTTCATTTTCTGTTTGATTTCTTCTTTTTTGTTAGTTTTTAAACTTCTATAATTAGCGTTAATCATAGTAATAATGTTGGAGAAATGAAGAGGCGGTGTCGCGTCGCCTAGGGCAGGAGTGAAAGAAAGAAAAAACTATGCGATCTAGCGATGCATGGCTGCATTATGTGGTCTCGCCCTTGCCGCTATCATCGGAAGATTGCATCATCTGCGCGGCCAGAAAGTTCTAGAAAGTAGTCTAGTCACTGTCTAAGTCTAAGTCCTCATCGAAATCCTCGGTCTCTAGATCAAAATCATCATCGTAGAAGTTCGCATCCAAGGCAGATTCTGCTGTGGGCTTGCGTGCTGGCTTAAGGCAATAGTCCTCAAGAGTCATCGGTACCACAATGCCCTCTCGCTTGGCCTCAGCATTGGCGGCCAATGCCTGTTTGCGTATGATGTTTGGATACTCATTGTCCTTGCCCTATAAATAATTGAATGTTATTATTGATTCAGTCTGGGAATCGTGCTTCACTAACCTGCGAGTCCCGCCATCGGCGGTACATAACCGATGCATCCACATTGGCCGGTGAGAATGTGTTGGGCTCGTTGAGAAGTGATATTACCGACAGGAGAATGGTCCTCACATTCTGTGTGGGATTCCAGCGCTCGCAAGGCAGCTCACCGCTCTGCGGATCATCTACCGGCGGATGAAGTATGGATATGCATAGATCGCCATTCTCGTAGACATTTGGATGCCACACTTTGGTGAGAAAGCGTATTGTTGGTGGCGAGTATGGATAGTCAGGCGGAAACTTCATGTGGGCCTTAAAATAGCCGCCCTGGTAGAGTGTATCCGGTGGCCCGAATATGGCGACTTCCCATTCAAATAGATTATCATCGTTAATCAGCTTTACGCGAAATCCTTCGACCGGCTCCTCCTGCAATGACTTGTACTCCATGGCCAAAGCGCGCACCGCCGAGCTACTGGGCGTCGTTGTGTTGGAGGAGGATCCAGAGCCGGCCATCATCGTCGACGAGGCATGTTGCGATGTGGAGGCAGCGGTGGTCATTTGTTCGCCTAGCAATTATCGCCGCGCTCTATTAAGACAAAACATGTCAATATTAACGCGTATGGTCAGTAGTACATGAAAATGTCCAGACATACATATATGCAGATCAATGACTGTATGTACATATGTATATATTTTAATGAGCAGGGTCAATATCTACTTCTCTCTGGGACAATGACAACGAATTCAAGGTGAGCACGTCACAAACGTTTAAACATAAAAGATGAGTGTTTTATTATACCGTTGTTGTTGCTTTGTTCTTAAAACTCTAAAATTATGCTATAACTCGGTCCGAAATCAATTAAGGCGAAAGCAGAACAAAAATTCACCTGAAAATGGTTATTTTCGCCTTTGACAACAAAAAATTAAAGCAACAATTTAGGGGAAAAACTACTTGCGAATATCAAATGACTACTATTTATGTACTTACTTGTAGGTATATTTTGTTTTGTGTATGCGTGTTAAAATATTATTGTTATTTTGACTTGCAACAATTCACTTTGCAAAACAAAAACCAGGGTGGCATTATCTGTCAGGGCTGCGCAGGCGACACTTTCAGGGCCGGGTCGTAAAACAGCACCTTTATTTATTGTGTACTGCCCTGGGCTGCACTTAAAAATATCCTATCCTGATCATTTTTGATAATTCAGCATCAGATTTTGATGAATGGATCGTAAAAATAGTACGATCCTTTTTGGATTGGCTTTGGCTTATTTCGATAGCTGACATATTGATTCAAATAAAATAAATAAGTAAAGCCAAATAAATAAAAAAAAATAATTGTAAATATAATGTTATATAAATTTTTTGGTTTTATGAAGAACTGTTCAAATCTTCGAAGCCAATGTCGATAGGTTCTAAGCCGATTGTATTAACGACCTCGCAATAATACGGGATGCACAAGAATTCAAAACATGATGGATGAGAGCCATCACTGATCGCTGATCAAGTTGTCCTGGTGAATAATGGCCAATCATTTGGGACGGTCGACGAAAAAATTTAACGCGTCCGAAGCAGATATATTTTATTTGTGGGCGCTGTATAGCTGGAGGACAACAGTACACACTGCAATATCGGATAAATGCGATTCTGCGAGACAGATATGCAATCAACATGGTTTTTATCTCCTTTTAAATGATTAAAATGAGTACCGGGTATAAAATTAATAAATAATAATATCCATATAATCTGTACTCATTCGACAATTAGATTTAATTTGGCTTGCACTTGTGTCCTTGAATTTTTAATGTGTGTGCCTTTTGGACGACGAAGATAGAATATTTCTATGTTCCGATCGATATAGGAAAATACCATCGGTTGCTTTTCTAGTATGTATCGACTTGCCTTTGTTCCGAACTGAGTACCGTTCTGCGAAACGCCTGATACGAAATTTTCGGTCAACCAAAAAACAGGGATGATTTATGTCGCTGATTTCGGTGGACGGAAAATTGAGCGCGTCTGAGTACTAGGCTTTCCGTACAGAGCCTAGAAAACAGCTTGTTCCCGAAAAAATTTCTTATCGGTTTCATACGAATATCAACCTGATTCTGTTCGCGAGGTGTTTTTTTCTTATCTGAGTACTAGGCTTATATGAATGCCAATTCTATTATAATTATTTTTCTTAATTTTTATGAATATAAACCAAATATTGTTTTCAAAACGTGTTTTCTTCACGGTGGTCGGTGGCGATTGCACTGGTGGCGTCGCCATCTGCTTCTGCTGATAGCTAGACACATTCCTTTGGCAATAAACTGAATATTAGGCTTAAAGACGGCTACGAACCCTAATTTTGCCTCTTGTCTATCGCTCTCTTCGCAGCAAAATTAGAAAAGTATAATGTCATAGCACCATTATTGTCTACGAAAAGTTTACTGATCTGATTACTGCTCTTAAGTAAAGAGGAGAGATAGAACATACATAGAATTTAAATAGAACGGAGTTAAGTAGCCTAATAGCCTTTTTACACTGGGCGCGTCTGCTATCGATATCGGCATAGACGCAATGAAGCAGAAAAGGCGTTTACATTGGAAGACGCGCGTCTTGAATTTTGTTTTGGGTGCTTGATGACAAGGAAAGTAAACAAATTTTGAGAAATCAACAGAATTATGCAAGACGACAAGAAAATGGACGAAAGAGAATTGATTCTTATATTTATTTATTATTTTCAGACATTTCTTTGTACAGCTTGTGGGAGTTCTTCTTAAAATTATGAAAACCATCGAAGTTCGTCTCCAGCAGTGTCATAATGGCATCAGGGGATCACAAAAATGTCGTATGATAATAATACAATCAGTTTCAAGTATTTTATTTCATGACTTTATGTATATTTTCACCTTTTTGCACAATCATACATTTTTAGCGCCAAAATTTGATTTTTGATCTACAATTTGTTGTTGTTATTAGTGGTGATAGTTGCGCTGATAGGCAGAAAATACCAAAAATGACCAAAATTAATCGAATATACCGAATAGACGCACATGAATCAGACACTGACGCAACTTTTTGCCACCACTAGGGCCCTATGCTTAACCTATGTAAAAAAAACTGCGTCTTCGCCAAGACGCAAAGAAGCATGACGCAGCCCCAGTGTAAACGGCCTATAAGTTCGGATTTTCTTCGGTATATTTACGGTATATTTTGAAAATGAGAAGGTATATTTTGGTATATTTCTAATGGTCAGACGGTATATTTTATTAATAAGTCCGCGGTCACACTGAAGGTGTGGGTGCGAGAAAGTCGTGTGAAAAAAATTGAATTGAAAACTAACAAAAATAGTTAATTTAATAATGTGCTCAGTGATTTAATATAAAATGTAAGTGTTTTCTTACTAGCTATCAAAAGTTCTGAGCCATTGGCATACGAAAAATAACCGAAACGCAGGCTAAAGAAAAGAAGCACAAAAAAAATGCATAAAGGAGTGGCAAGCGTGAAAAAAAAGGAATCAAGTCTCTAATCAAAGCAACCCGTATTCATGTGTATTTGTTTGTGTGCATACAGCTCTCCAGATATGATCTCGTTCCATAAATTTTCATAAAACATAATAATAATACTCAAACAACGCCCAAGGAGCAACAGTACCTGCGAAAACAATAATAGCAGCAGAGGTTGTTGATTAATTTCCTGTATAAGCATTTTTGCGAGAGCCGCTGCCAGAGTGCGGGAGAATTTAAATTTCAAATTTAAAAGAGCAACAACTATCATTCCAGCTCAGTGAACATGTTGTGTAGCATAAAACCATAAAATCTCAACAAAGCTGTGTGAAAAAAAAAAAACATTTTTCTTGTAAAAAACTCGCACGCATAAACGCACATATACACACAAAAACCCATAGTAGTACCTTAAACACGACGAATCATGTCCAGCTGGGCTGAACGCGTTCACCGACGCGCCGCCGATCTTGGCAACGTGGTCACCTCCTGCGGCCATCCGGCGACTGCGCCCGCCTATCCCTATCGCCTGGAGAAGGTGAAATTCGGGGTATCCCTGGAGGAGGTTTGTAAACACAACAACAACATTCCAGCCCCGCTTCTCGTGCTCATCTTGAAGCTTAACAAAGAGTCGCCCAACCGCCGCGACGTATTCAGGGCTCCCGGTCACCAGGGGGCCATGAAGAAGCTCATCCACTTCCTTCAGGCGGGTCGGCTGGTCAATGTCGACAACTATTCGGTGTTCACCATTGCCAGTGTTTTAAAAAAGTTTCTGCGCAAGATACCAAATGGTATCTTTGGTCGCAACGGAGAGATGGAGCTCTTTGCCATCAACGAGTTGCAGAACGAAGCCGAGCAGACGGAGCGTTTACACAGGTGAGTGATGCACAGACACATTCATAAAAGTGATTGTATTGGTAGTGTAACTAGCTTGCGATAAACTTGCTGAACCGGATCTAGATTTGGCTGCAGCTCTGAGAATATCAACTGTCTCCATTAGCTTTTGCTGCTATTTGGCACTTGCAGAGACATTTGTGTGTATTTTCACCAATTTTCACTTGTATGTTAACAGTTAACAGTTGGCACGCCACCAAATGATTGCTTAACTCTTGGACATATGTATGTATGTACATAGTATGTACCTACATACATATGTGCACACATCAGTTTGCACAAGGTTTTCCATATCTCATGGCTACATATTTGATGGATTTAGTACTTATGTATATTTGCTTCAGATATCGTGAAACAGTTGTTCTCAGTTGAGCAGATCAAATATTTATTAGTTCGTTAAACTCATTTGAGTTAATTTTAGGTAGTCTTTTATAACCTCTAACACTGTAAGGTTTAAGCTTGTCTTCGATTCAGAGGCTTTGATTTTCTTGTTGTTGCTGCAATCGATTTCTAACCAACTGAATTGGAGCATAAAGCGTGGGCAAACATCGCACGCACGCTCAATTAATGGCAAACGAAAAATGTTGCGGCTGTTGCAATTTGCCATTGTTTTTTTTGTGGCTGCAAGTGAGAGGTAACTCTCTTCGGGTGCCAAGTGAATCACAGCTGTTTGAGTCGACTGGAAGATTGTCTCAAGAAATAGTAATACAAGTTAATGCATTCCGAGCTCGTCTCTTTCCACCTGGAGAGCTACCAGCTCTAAGATAATGTCGAAAGTTATAAGGTTCGGAAAACGGGATCGATCGATGAGTTTCCTCTCAACTTTTTAATTACTCGTGGAAACGGGTAGAAAAAGGATGCTGCTATTGCTCGGACTGCCTTACCTTTTAGTAGTAGCACTTGCTTTGGGTGTGTTTGGCATCATTTAGCATGTGTGTATCCAGACAATTTGTTAAACGAAGATAGATGCTACTACGTCAGCACAGTCTATCGGTTACATTAAATGCTAGATGTGCGTGTGAACAAATAACGTCAGCAATAAAACATAAATTTTGAAACTTCTAAATGCGTGGAAATCGACCGCCACATCACCGTGGGCCCAACAAAGAGAGCGGAGGTAACGTAAAGTGTACGTTTTGCAATCTATTTACCTGGGTGCGCTTGTGTCTAAACTTTTCAACTTTGTAATTGTAGCTGTCCGTTCACTCACTGCTGCTGTTCTTCTGTTTATTTGCTTTTTGGGGCAGGCGCAAGCCGCCGCGAGCAACAAAAACAACAAAAACATACACTGTTATAAATAGACACGCGTTTTAAACTTTATCAATTGAACGTAAATGTAGAGAGAGGGAGATAGCCAAATACAACCAACAACAGGTCTCTGTCTCGGCTGTCTCGGCCCAATGTTGATACTTAATTCAATCAGTTGGCACATCGTTGGATGTGTTGCTGTTACGAGTATTGCAGCGCGTCGACGTCATGGTTGCACGTTTTTGCAATTCACCAAAATAATAAATGAATTGTGTATTATCTTAGTATTGTGTAAATACAAACATACATAAACACATTTGTAGGCAAGAAACGCGCTGGAGCAAAATTGGGAGAGAAAGTTTACAACGAAGAAAAGTGGTTGCTCTCCACTCCCTCTCTCTCTGTCCCTTCAAATGTTTAGTTCTGGTGTTAGCAACTTGTTGACTTACTGGAAAACGCTTCTACAAACTTTTTAAGGAGGACTTTTATTCATGTTGGTTCCTCTTAAAACCTGGAATCTCTAAGCAGAGCCGGTTGCATTTTTGTAACCGCTATCAAACTGTCGGCTGTTTTGGACATTACCATATGCCAGATGACTTCTGCCAGCTCACTCTCTTTCTCTCTTCCTAACAAGTACGCACTTTCTCCTGCTTCGTCGCTGCCTCCAATACTGTGGAAAAAATGTGGGGGTAAGAGAGACATACATAGGGAAGAGATTTTTGTTGGTCTTGACTCTAGAGTCTAGACAAACAAATAAAAAAACTGCAGCGCCTCTGTCCGCATCCAGAAACGAAAAAGCCGCATTGTCCTACAGGGAATTAACAATAGGTAGACAATGTTCTGGTCTGTAAGTCATCATCCGAAGTCTGAAAGGGCCTCCCCCTCCTTCTTCTTCTACCGACTGATTTTTGCTTCCTGATAATTTTATTGTGAAGCACTGAATTGGGTTCTGTTATTATCGTATATTTCGTACGGGTTTCCTGTTTTAACGTCTGGGCCAATCTACTTTTTTTGGAGTTTCCATTCGACTTTGACGGCAAATATGCAAACAAATAATTCCAAGAAATAACAAAAATGTTTCGGCTAAGGTAGAACCACGAACATGCAATGAACTTTAAATAAAAGAGTTTGGTTAGTGTACAGCTGTGTTCAATGAAATAGTAGTGCCGCACCTCATCACTTTCAAAACTCTTTTTGAGACACTTCCAGTTATCCAAATTGAACAAATTATACCTTTTAAATAGACTGGAATGTTAGCACTAGAAAATCGAAGAAATATCTATTCATTTGAATTCCATCTTCTTGTTTTTCGTGTCTTAAGCCGAATACCTATGAAATATGCTGTTGAATGAAACAGTAGTGTTTTTTATACCCGTACTCAAAAAATAGTTAAGGGGTATATTAGATTTGTGGTAAAAGTGGATGTGTGTAACGCAGAGAAGGAACATTTTCCGACCCCATAAAGTATATATATTCTTCATCAGCATCAATAGCCGAGTCGATATAGTCATGTCTGTCTGTCCGTCCGTCCGTCCGTCCGTCCGTCTGTCTGTCTGTCTGTCTGTCTGTCTGTCCGTCTTGTTGAGCGCCTAGATCTCAGAGACTATAAGAGCTAGGGCAACCAAATTTGGTTTTCAGACTCATGTGATATCACACTGCTACAAGTGTATTTCAAAATTTCGACCCGCCTCCTTCCGCCCCCACAAAGGACGAAAATCTGTGGCAGGCAAAATTTTAAAGATACGATAAAACGCAGTATCGTAGAGAATGACCATATCTACCAGACTGCCGAATCTGAATCAGATCGGATCATAATTATAGCCAGAATGAAGAAATTAATTTTCTGTTGCTTCCCCGTGCCCATCCTGCCAAAAACAACGCAACTCATTTTCCGTCTCGCTCGCACACTCTGCCGCGTTCAGTGCGCGAGCAACCCCTAGCGGAGGAGATGTAGAATATGAATGGAACATGTACAATCTACACGTTAGATGTAGAATAGACATTTTATATGAAGATGTAGATAGCAGATGTAGCAAAAAAAATGTAAAATGTAAAAAATCATAAGCTCAAAAATGTATATACTGACTGAGTACGGGTATAAGTAGAGTCGTGTCCCCAGAAACGACTCACACGTTCCTTCTCGTTTTTCATGATTTTAGGTGGTAATCGTATTTCTGTGAATGCCAAACATATTCTTTTGGGTCTATCTTACCATATAATACAACTTTACTATAATGAGTCAAAAGCATTTTTGTCACTGTGACAGGCCATTCCACATGCGTTTTTCCAAACTGAAGTTGTGCACCCATGTACTCTCAGACCCAAACGCGGAGCTTTCTGGGACATTCAAATTATGTTTAATCAACCGTCTTTGAACTGTCACAACACTGACTGAGCGATTTAAAATTATGTTAGAAATTTTTAAGGATTTTGAAGGCCTGGTCCTGCCTTTGACCATTACCGACCGTCCTCTAAAAAATAAGTTTTTCGCATACAAACTCGATTTTCCGTCTGCTTCTTATAGTTAATTGGGTTAAATAAAATAGTGAGAGTGCATACTACTTAGTTTTCAATTTCATTATACCACCTGTCTTAAGTTTTTAGTCTAACTCTTAGGTCTCCTCTTCTGGACCGAGCAATGATTTCTTCAACGCTCCAAAATCAAAAGTACCGCTATGTCCAAAACTTTCTTTCATCAAATTATTCGATATCTAAATTTATTATTTAAATTAATTTGTTTTGTTTCTTCATTTTTAAAAATTAATTAAACCCAGCAATACTATTTCATTGAACAACAGATATCATGGGTAGTTGTCTAAAGTCATGAAAAACAAGAAGATGGAATGCAGATGTAACGGGGTTTCTTCAAGTTTCTAATGCTTACATTCCAGGCTTGCCGTAAAGGTATCTTTTGTTCAATTTGAAGGACTAGAAATATTTAAAAAAGAGTTTGAATTGTGAGGTGCGGCACTACTATTTCATTGAACACAACTGTATGTTTCTTTATCAAACGGTTTGGACCAATGCCCAAAGGCCCTCCCCGTTTTAACAGAGTACATTGGCTCGTGGGCAGAATTATTAAGATGACTAATATGAAGTTTACTCAGAAATCTAAGAAAATTGACCTTAGTTTTATCTGACTACAACACATTTGTCCAACTAGGCACCTTCGAGTGGTACCTTTCAAGCTTTATGACCTTTTAAGTCGACATAGATTAGCCTATTTCTTATAGAACGACTACTAGCCAGTAAATTAGGATCATTTTTTAGATCTTCCGACGAGAACAAACGGATTTTTTTTTTTCATTTCCGAAAACGAAGGTTGTCGTATTGTTGTATTCTGCGCGTGTCTCGCTATTTTTTGTAGTGAGCCGAAAGCACTTTTTAAACACATTTTAGAATTGTGCTCCTATCTGACATTGTGTGGTCTTCATTTTTAAGATTTAGGATATCTTTTCTATCAACACGCGTACAATGTGGGCCACGACCAATTCTGAGCCGAATAAAAACAACAACCAAAACAGGATCCGCAAGAATAGGTTTTTTATCATACAGGCTCCGGTTTTCACTTTCACAAAAAAGGTGTGATATACTTTTCAAAACAAAAAGTTAGGCGCTCCCGCATTCGTAAAACGCAAGACTTTTCCGTTTTCAAAACGACAACATATTACACTCCGAAAAAAAAGTAAAAGGCTTAATTGCAAAAGGAAAAAAATAGATTACGTATTGATGCA